TTGTCGAAAATACTATACCACACTTGAAGATGTCGTTACCCATGTTACCTTCTTCAAAGCAAACATAAAAGGAATCGGTCGACTTCCTGGATATCGTTAAATTTACTTGAAGTGTAGATAAGCAGACAGTACTACACAAAAATGTGTTGTGTTTCATTGTTTTGATTTGTGTGTATTTTGTGTGGTTTTTTTGTGTGTTTTTTTTTTGTTATTTTTTTGTTTTAAGAATTTAGTGTTAATGGTGAACTTTGGTACTTTCGGTTAAAACATATACAATTTTGGGACATTCTTAGCGATTAAGAGCTAAATATGTAATCTACACATTCGGTTATTTAAGATATATAGAAGCATTTCGTGTTTGTGTGTAGATGGGTTGCCGTTGCATTTATATTAAATCCATATCTCATTTTCATTATATAAATTCATTATTTAGTAGTACAAAAAAGAAAAATAATACGCCACTGCTGGTGGAGTTTTTCTTCCCGCGGATATCTTAAGCCCAGTAGTCAGCACTTCTGTGCCATGTGTGTTGACATAAATTATCATTGATATGGTTATAATTATGAATTAACTGTTTACAAAGCTTAGAATTTTTTCGATATACTAAGGATTTTCTACCCCAGAAATAGATTACCTTAGCTGTATTTGGCAAAACATTTAGGAATGTTTGTCCTCATTGCTAGTCAACTTCGTACTTTGTTTGGAATTTTGAACTTTTTTTATTCGAGGGTCACTGATGAGTCTTTTTTTTTAGATGAAACGCTACACAATGTCTAGCGTACACAATTTCAATCCTGGTATCTATGATGAGTTTATACACAGCTTAATTGTAAATCAAACATTTAATATAAAAAATAAGAAGATGTGGTATGAATGTCAATAAGACAACTATCTATCAGAGAAAAAATGTAGTAGATGTAGACAACTATAGGTCACAGTACGGCCTTCAACAAGAAGCAAAACCAATAGCATATAGTAAGCTATAAAAGGCCCCGCTTTGATAAAATATAAAACAGTTCAAACGAGAAAACCAACGACTTGATTTATGTACAGAACAATAAACGAAAAAAAAATATGATAGACAACAACAAACGACAACTACTGAACTACAGGCTCCTGGCGTGGGATAGACAGATACAGAATGTGGCGGGGGTTAAACATGTTCGCGAGCTCTCAACCCTCTCCTAACATGGGACAGTGACACAACGGCATAACATCAGAGCAAACTGTAAAAATCTGTGAAAAAGGTAAGACTCATCGGATCAACATCAAGCAAAAAGGGTAATTAAAATTAACTAAAATAAATTGGTTTTATACACAAAACTTTTATCCACATTAGGGTGTCTCATGACAGAAGAGTGAAGTCGTTTAGCACGCGACCATGTGCCATTAATGATTTGTAATAGAAGGTGTTATGTTGATTCTATTTAGACTAAATATTTCAATAAACCGTTGTCATATCCTAACCTAGCACCCCAACTCCATAGATCAACAGGTGTTTCGAATATCTATTTAGACCAATTCGATAAAATTCGAGAACACAGTTGAGGAGAAAGGCACGCTTTTTGGGTGTAGGATTAGAGACATATATTTATTAAAAACAAAGAGATTTGGAACAGGAGCACCACATGTCAGCCCCCCACCCCCTTCACAGTTAACAAGAGCTTGCAGCTGCTTCTTAGACTTTATAAAACGTCACCAGTGTCTGAGCAGAAATTTGATGAACCAGGTTTATGTCAAAGAACGTCTCGTCCTTTTTCTAAAAAAAAAGTTCATCGGAAGATACCAAGACATTGTTGATAAATATTCCGTACCAACTTCAAAAATGATACATGATGGTCTTGAAGTATAGATTCTAGGTACTGGCGTTGTTTATCATCTTAATAACGATTTATAGTGTTCTTTTTACTTGTCTTTGTATATTTTGAACCTTTACTGCGTAGTCTATTTTTGTTAATATCCCTTTGGAGTTTCTCGGTATTTATACATCCCGTCATTTTATTATTGTGCTATAGTTATTTTTGTATTCTTGTCTTTCATTTTGGCTTATACGCTTTGTCTATAGAGTATGCCATTTTGTTTTTCTTTGTTGACATGGTTGTTTGTTTTTATTGTGATTAAGATTTTAACACAATGTTGGCTCTACCCAAAAAAAAAGAAAAAGAAAAAGAGGGGTCCATGACCCAAGCACCATTTAACTTAACGATTATATTCCCATAGTTTCTAACATCTTCCTCGGACTATTTTAAAGTATATTTCGAATTGAAGGAAGGGTGATGGAAATTGTATTTATGATATTCTAACATCTTAATTATTTAATAAGGTAGCATTGATTTTTGTACAAATACATATGACTGTACAATTATTTTGGCTTTATCATGTATAAGTTTAGAAAAAAGTGTGTATTAGGTATTGTCAAATTCGGGGAAAATAAAATAAATCAAACACCTAGTATAGTGATCCTAGACCTTCGTGACATTCGTGATCAGATTTCCTAATGAATGACCTCACAGTTTTATTCTTTTCACATTTTCGGTCCATACATGTATCGGTTAACTATCTCATATTTTCTTACTTCCATTAATACATTATGGAAAAACTAAAAAGTGAAAAAAAAAATATTTTCTTCAGTCGTTTTTAGAAGTGAGTTTCAACGCTATATCAATATTTTTTAAGCGATATAGGCTGCGTTGCAAGTTTTCTCTAACAATAAATAGCTTATTATAGTTTTTAATATATTATATTTATTGTATCGGGAATGGACTTTTTTAAGATAAAGGTTTTAAGACGAAGTAACTTAACATTGGATTGCAACCTCTCCCTTTTTTGATATCGCTTCTAAAAATTGTATTGTAAAGGAAAGTTTTTATAGAATATGATGTATATTTAAGGTAAACTCAACACTGTAAACTAATAAGTTTTCCCGTGTTAGTTCCTCTCAAGGAGGAAGCCTATGTAAATGAAAGAAATATTTTAATTCTTTTTTGAAACAAAAGAAGAGAAGAACGGTTTTAAATTGTTTGCATCATATATTACTACAAAACGTAAGTACACGAATATGATTTACGGAAATTAGGATATTTTTCATTTTTGTTTGTTTGTTATAGACTGTAATTTGAGGTGTTAGTTTTTTCTTGTTTCTAAAGAATTATATGCAGAGATAAGATCTTTTCGGGTAATAACCATTTTCGAGTGTTGTAGTAAGAAAACCAGGACGGGTTCAAACAAAAAGATTTTGAAAGCAGAAAAAACTGTGCACTCTATAAGCAGCATGACTTTATCAGATACTCCAGGCTAAAAATAAGGCGAAGGTACCTAAATTCAGTCATGGACCCGCGATGTCTATGGTGTGTTCTAGTTTTGTTTATAATACTTAACTATTTACCTTTAACTTGTTTGTCATCGGCTATCGCTAACAATGATTTTACTCAGACAAGCAAATATATGTGTGTATATCAAAACTTAACTAACACGCTATTGAAGAATGTTCAATTATTCAATGTTAATAAAAGCACAAGGTTAACTCCTGTATAGTTTTTAAAGGTATTTGTTCGTAGGCATTAAGAACCCTTCGGCGACCCCGTGCGTTTAAATGTCCAATGTAAAAACAACGAAATGAGCGGGTGTAACGGATGAACGTTTGCCCGATCAGACCCAACCAATGAATGGCTTCAATGGGTTAAAGGTTGGTCATATCTAAGCACTTATTGGTTTGATAATATGCAGATAACCTTCACATTTCCGTTTCTAGACGGAAGAGGTGCTTGTAAACTTAACTATTAATACTGCTGTATTTGTGAAATTAGCGTGTTTGCAGTAATTGCTTAGCATCCAACTTTTTGTCTGGTAAGTTGTTTTTCATTTATTAACTTTTAGTATGACATTAACAGGAAAATTGCCAAACCATTTTGTTGTTTGAACTAGGAGGCTAGGACGTAAAATGTGTCATGTAAATTCGAGTGTAAATAGTAATTTTAATAATAACGTTTCAAAGATCGAATATGTAAACAGTCAATCAATCTAATGATATCATATCATTAACAATAGGTATTGTAGTGCGAAACGTAAGACAAACATGATATTATCATTTTTTCGTCATATCTAAAGTCACACACATGATACTTTAGGGTAACACTCGGGTTACTACGTAGGGTACATCCTTGGTTTGTCAAACTGACGGTTGGTAGTTGACATTGATTGATTGATTTTCGGTGCTTAAGGCCACTTACAGCTCTCTTAGCTATATCGTGGCGGCCATTTTTTATTGATTTATTGATGGAAACCGAAAAGAACCATCGACCTTCGACAGGAAAACTGGCAATCCTTGTCGACTAAGATAGGAGTCGAACGCACCTGCAACGAGTGAGGTTCGATCTCATAACCTCGATGTTGACAGACTAGTTATGATAGAAGATAAACTACTTATACCACTTGGCCACCGAGGCCCGGTAGTTGACAGACTAGTTATAATAGAAGATAAACTGCTTATACCACTTGGCCACCGAGGCCCCGGTAGTTGACAGACTAGTTATAATAGATAAACTTCATACACCAGTTGGCCACCGAGGCCCTGGTAGTTGACATAATGCATCAGTATGGGATGTTTTATTTAAAAACAAGAATGTGTCCATAGTGCACGGATGCCCAACTCCCACTATCATTTTCTATGATTTGGCATAAGAATTCAAAAGATCATATCATAGGGAACATGTGTACTAAGTTTCAAGTTGATTGGACTTCAACTTCGTCAAAAATTACCTTGACCAAAAACTTTAACCTGAAGCCGGACAGACGGACGAACGGACGAACGGACGGACAGACGAACGGACGGACGAACGAACGGACACACAGACCGAAAAACATAATGCCTCTCTACTATCGTAGGTTGGGCATAAAAATCAGTAGAAACAATTATATTATGTTTTTTTAATATAAAATTGATGAAATGTTAATGTTTAGATAGGTCTGTACATGTCAAGGAAGACGGACTCATAACAAAGGTCTTGAAGGATTACGACAAATATGCCTACCCTGGAACAACTGAACATCCAATAGTGAAAGTCTTGCATAGCCTGAATCTCGAAAAAATGGACTATGATAGTATGGTAAGTGCGTCTTGAAACTACTTAATTAGTATTTAATTCACTTCAATTCTTCGTTGACACATAGACATGTCTCGCCCATTAGTACTTATAAACGAAGGCATTTGTTTTTTCTTTTTCTTTTTTCTTTCTTTCTTTATTGAATTTTGCTTTGGTTTCAAGGTTTATGGCCTGCTTATGATAGTAGTTGGCATAATGTTTTCTATTCTGTGTGTCCGTTAATCCCGTATCAGGTTAAAGATTTTTGTCAAGGTTGTTTACCAGGAAGTTGTAGTCAAAACAACTTGAAAATTAGTAAAATTGAGAATGGAAATGGAGAATGTGTCAAAGAGACAACCACCCGACCAAAGTGCAGAAAACAGCCCAAGGCCACCAATAAACATCTTTATTATGGTATTAACTTTTAAAACTGTATTCCAAATTCCGGTTAGACCCCATTTTTAAGAGTTCACTGAACATAGAAATGTGAAAGTTGGAAAAAGTATTTTTTGTCAGGTATTTGGTTTACCATGAAGTTGTGATCACACCAACATAAAACTTAATATACATGTTAGTTTTGATATTGACCCTGTAAAGTATAAGCGAAATTACAGTTAAGATCTCAATGTCACGGTTCACTGAACAAGTAAAATGATAGTGCACGCGAGGCATGGTGTCATATGGACACATATTCATGACCGATATTTCATAACTTACGTATTTGTTTCTAGCATTCAGTTTTTTAAGGAGTTTGTGGATCTCATTTAAGTAAGTTCGCAACGTAGATCGCCGGAAGACAAAATATGGCGAGAATTTTTGTTTTCAACATTTTTATTACAGTATTACAATAAAAAGTTTTCTAGCAAAATAGTATATATGTTAAATATTTTGTTGAAGTCAGATGATATTGTTTTTTGAAAGTCGATACAGTCATTACTCGCACAACATTATAATTGTCAATCAGAGATAAGTTTTAGAGCTATCTGATCTCTAACCAAGAAAGTTTGATAGGATTTGGTGGAACTGCTTTTCGCGCGGAGGTAACCGTTATTTTCGCTTATTTCGCAATTAGGTAAAGTACGCGAATGGTTTGTAGAAAGCAACATCGTTGATGTGAAGTGCGAATGTACAGTTGATGCGCGAATTGGACCCCCGCGCGAGTTTAAGCATTAACAACCCTCAAAAATAATCAACGTTTCCATTTTTGCATTTCATTTGCAGAAGTCCAAAATGTCTATTGAGGTTTGGTCAGAGCTGAAATGGAATGACCCTAGATTGACCTGGAATGGAACATCAGCAAGAATAAGACTCCCAATGTCTCTCATATGGATACCAGATATAGTTCTATACAAACAGTAAGTAATTTAATAAGCACAAGTATAGTCGATTATGAGGGTCTGGATGGGGGTTCCTCATTTCTTTATTCTTAAATTTTTTAGACAATTTTTCTCTCTTCTTTATTTTTTGGCCCATTATTCTCTATTCTTATTTGTTTGCCCTTTATTCTGCACTTTTTGTCCATTATTCTCTATTCTTATTTGTTTGCCCTTTATTCTGCACTTTTTGCCCATTATTCTCTATTCTTATTTGTGTGCCCTTTTTCTGCATTTTTTGCCAATTATTCTCTATTCTTTATTTGTTTGCCCTTTTTTCTGCACTTTTTGCCCGTTATTCTTTATTCAGTAAACCCCGCCCAGACCTTTGGTGATACCTCATTCCAAATTTCACGTTGGGGTTTGAAGACTGATTGCCGTAAGAAAGCCATTTTCACTGCCTCATAAGAAAGGCTTTTCCAAAGGATCTAAATTTCTTGCTATTTTGAGCAACATATTTATTAGGTCGCCCTCTCTTTGAGTTTGAAGGACATTTCTAATATTTGTCGTTCATTAATTCTATGATATATTGTCACGTGGATTTGGCGCACAAAATAAGCCGCATTGCAATAGGTGAATATGATTATTCTATCCGAAATAAATCCTCCCCCTGCGCCAAAAATCGAATGATCGTCCTTTTATTATATAAGCTATAAAATACCCAGGCATGACAAAATGTAAAAAAAAATTTAAACGAGAAAACCACTATTTATGTTAAAAAAAAACAATGAACGAAAAACAAATATGGTAAACATCAAATAACGACACCCACTGAATTACAGCCGAGTTCCTCATATGTCCACTACTTTTATACCTTATTTTACTTCGGATTCTGACGCGTGTTTGACTGAAGGTGGAACGGTTGTATTTCCTGGGCAATGGGGATAATGAAAGCCTTTTTTTAATGTTCTCCACTTTCTAACACTGACCTACACACACAGTTAACTAGAGTACTTTCGTTATAATATTCAGAAATAAATGTGAATATGACCGTCTTCTTTTTCTGCCCCAAAATATTTAGACTTCTTTCCCTTCCCAATATCTTAAGGTTTTCCTTCGGAAACCATTTGTTTCAGACACACGGAAGGAAGGACGGACAAAGCGATTACTATGTGCTGCCGAAAAACAAATAATTCGGAGAGCGTTAAAAGGAAATGCAGGTTTATTGCATATCTACGAGAAACCAAAAGGACGTGAATGTATGCAACTGGCTTCAACAATAAGCAAAATCAATACCGTATAGTAAGGGGACGACCATTTGTTTTTTTTAAAGGGGGAAGGCAGGAAGGTGGAACGGTTGTATTTCCAGGGCCATAGTGATAATGAAAGGTTTTTTTTATAATATTCTCCACTTTCTAACACTGACCCAGAATCTACACACACAGTTAACTGAAGTACTTTCGTTATAATATTCAGAAATAAATGTGAATATGATCGTCTTCTTTTTCTGCTATCTTTATAAACCTCAGGCCACTAGTACTTTGCGGCCTTTTATCATGAAGTGAACACAAAAATTCCCAAAAATTCATTTTCACCCATGTGTAAAATTTGTTTATATTTTCTACACCTGATTCATCCCTCAGCTTGGAAAAATATGTTCAGTAGATGCTGTATTTTTCGTCCAATCACAGTGTTCAGATATATTGACATAAGTTGGTACACAAAAGAGCAACCTAGTATCACATGACAGTTGACGCAAGCTGGTCGCTAAATTCTTACCCTGTTCGAGCGCCATTTTGAAAGTTTTTCATTGTTAATTTTGTCGTGTTTTTTTACCAAAACTTCTTGATCGACACTAGAATGTTAACAATTAAATTGGTTTTTTTTTGCAGTCCAAATACAAAGCCATTATACAACCAAAATGTTGTTATAAGTCGGAATGGAGACGTTATTATGGTTCCTGATGCAAAGTATGACACTGAAAACTGCAAGCAGAAGAATGACGATGTTATCGAATGTAAATTTAAATTAATTTGGATCCTGGACGTACGGTGCACATGAAAAAGATTTACAAGCCATCAATCCTCGCGTGCTGCTGGAAACCTACACGGAAAACGCCCAGTACGAAATAGTCGGATCGAGTGTTGTTCGAGAGGCAAGGAAGTACGACTGTTGTCCAGAAACATACGACGATATAGTCTATACCATACAGATTAAACGTCATTAGAAAATTAGATGTGTGATATGTACTCAACGATTTCGTACTATGAACTTTGAAGCCGCACACGTATATATCATGCTGCTTTGTAGATAACGCGACTTTTTTATATTGTAATGGAAGAAAAATCTTAACTGTTTCGTATTTTTGTTACAAAAATAAAGACCATTATTTTCACATGCACGAAGACGCATTTTTATTAATGGGCGCAAAACTAAAAATGTGCATATTCATTTTTTTTTTCTTCAAGGACATTATATAATTGTAAAAATTCACTGTATTTTAAACCAAAATTGAATAACATATTTGTTTCCTTGGCAGCCGATCTTGGTTTTAACATTTCGCCTCTGACTCGTGTTATTGGTCTTTCTAAATAATTGCTTTCTAAATAGTCTGTACGTCACTCATTTTGACTTTGTATTAGACATTTGCTATGTTTATAATAAATATAATTAACTTGATTTGAAGATTGCTCTTTTTTTGTTTACCAGGTTTGTAGTCAGGAGGGTCTGGATGGGGTTTACAGAATTGAGAATAATGCGCCAATACTATTGAAAAAGGGTCAAATTAATAAAGAAAAGAGAAAAATATGCCAAAAATAGAATACAGAATAATGAGGTGCTAAAATATGAATAATAGATAATAATGTGCAAAATTTATAAAGAATAGAGAAAAATGGCAAAATAAATAAATAATACAGAATTGAAGGACCCTCATTCAGACCCTTAGTCAGGTAAATGCAGGATGAGAGGAGATGCAGGGCGTACGTCAATAATACAGCAATCCAACATCTAAAATCAGAAATACATTTCTTTTACACTGATAATTGTATTACTTTTCATAAACATGCAATTAATAATCTTTACAGCTCGTGTGGTTTTACTAATTCAATCATGGGGTAAATTTAATATCTTTCATTTCCTAGAATGCATTATAAAAAGTTTTGGGTCCATAATGGTGTTACTGATTAAGGAACACAGTTGGAAGTATTTGAACATCTATGATTTCCCTTACTGTAAAGAAGGAGTGAGACTATATCGCAATCAGCGTGTCCGTCCTTATTTTCGTTTCTTTTTTTTCTCAAAAAGTACTAAACAAATATCTTTATATTTGGAAACTTATATATTAAATATTTTATTTCTAATAAATATTTAGTAGCTGTATATTGACGAAATGTAACGTGCGAATATTTTTGATCAGTCAGATACTTACTTTCTTATTGCATATACTCTGAAATTCAATATTTCAATTTGTTGAATGAACTTACATTTTTTCGTCAAACATTTTTCCAATACCACTAAACAAAATGATTTTAAATTTAATCATCTGCTCAAAAGGAATGAGTTGAAACTAGTCTACGCTTTTTGGATATGTGTCGGACATCAGCTTTTTGTTTCTTTATCGCACTCTCTATGCTGGCGTAAACTATGACTAATGAGGTCTTTATATGACGTTTCTTGTTACCCGGCCCCAGATATATTACAAGGGAAAAC